GAGCTTGCAACCCTACTTTGGGCCTTTTTCAGATCAGGAAACTGGCCTTGGGTGGAGGCTTAAACCCCCTCATTCTTTGTGCTGTGATCCTGATCGATATTTGTGCTTGATTTTTAGAAGGGGAGGAAGCAGACTGGGATTTCTTGTTGTAGAACACCCAGCATCACATGCAGTTGAATCCTTGATTCTGTTCCCCACAGTGCCCACTGACTGGCCTTGATAGTTCTACCAACCACTAAGGAAAAGCCATGGGTCTCCTTGCCCACCATGGGGTATCTGTGCTTTGAAGCCTTGCAGAAAAATGCCAAAACTTAGTAGCCAACAAAATAAAATGCCAGTCAGCCTGAGGAGGTGTTTAAACTAGCTGCCCACGCATTGTGGACAGAAGAGCAAAACAATAAGTCTGTTGTGTGATGTTTATTTAGCAACTCCTTATTCAAGAGTTGTATGCAGGAGTCTCTCATTTTTCCATTATAGTTTGCCTAAAGGGAAACAGCATTTGTTATAGTGTGCAGTGTGTCTTGACTGCATTAACATGGGTAGACAGAAGGAGCCATTATTTATTTGTGCATACACGGAGTGCCATCAGTGTACACTTATAGAATTCCTTGGCAAAAGTAGGCAGGTCCTCATCCTCAAGGAATTGATATTCTAAAACTGGACAATGGGAAGGCAACAGAAGGTGGGAAAGAAGGGTAGGGAGCAGGGGTCGTTGCGTAGAAAAAGAGCTAGGGGAACCCATTAGCATAACTCATTAGCATATGCCACACCCCCTGACATCACCAGAAGTGTGTGATAAGGCCACACCCCCTGACATCACCGGAAGTGTGTCATAAGGCCACACACTCCGTCCCCAACGGTCCCGGGCGGCGGCCTTACAGCTACACTGCCAAGCCCCATGATGGGCCTGGCGGTGGACCTGCAAGGCCGGCGGGAGTGCGAGGAAGCCCCGCGAAGGCCCTCCCTGGCCCCAGGCAGGCAGGGGTGGGGAGAGGCAGGGAGGAAGCAACTTACCCTCCCTCTTCTCCTGCCTCCTCCTGGCTGAATGAGGGCCGGAAGCGGGGCGGCCGGAAGCAGGGGGCGGGGCTTCGTCATGTGCCCTGCCCCCGTACCTCACCCGGGGGAACTGCGATCCCCCGGGATCCCCCCTGAAATGACCTCTGGTAGGGAGTGGTCATTGTGGTCTACATGGAACAACTTGGTTACATTTGGGAATAAGGACTAAGGGAATAAGCAAAGGTCATGCAGAAAATGTGGATTTTGAGGAGGAATTTGAAGACAAAGGTGGCAACAAATACATAGATTCTACACATAATGGCCAGCAAGAGATAACGGTTTCAGAGGTCAGCCATGTTGATCTACAGTAAAACATCTAGATTTACATCCAGTAGCACCTTAGAGACCAACATGATTTCCGCAGTATTAGTTTTCAAGAGTCAAAGGTCCCTTTATCAGATAGAAATAATAGCTCGACCACATTCTGAAAAAGTAACACAAATTGTCCTTTTCAGTTAGTAATGTATTGGTCACCATTTCTGGGAGTATACTTCAAAACTAAATCTCCAAGGTGTTAGGAAGACGTTGGCCTTCCTTGGTCTGGTTGACATCTAAATTAGGGTGCTAGGGTCTAAATTTAGGTGCAAGCAGATTCTGTTTGTATACCATCCTTCTTCCTCCAAGCTCAGAATTTTCAGCCTTTTTGGGCCGCTGGAGTAGGGTAGGCCAGGAGATGGTGTCTTGCCCAAAGCCACCTAGTGATGTTGCAGACAGTTAAACCTCAATTCAGCCTATGCCAAATCCCAGCATTCTAATCAAAACACTACCCTTACTTTCCTGCCTCTAGACAGCATCATACACAACGTTCCCTTGCTGTGCTATGAGTACAGATTATGCTGGTAATGTTGTATTGGTTTATATGTATATTTTATTTAATGATGTAAGACACTCCTGTTAGCCCCATGCGCTTGTCTCTCTGTGACTGCAGGAACACGCAAATGAGATAAGTATGCAGCTTGTTCTCTAAAGACGTTTTCTAGTCCAAAGACTGCTGTGCTATATGTACCTGTTGCTAAGGTAACAGCAGTCGCCCCCACCACCATATCCTTCCCTGAACTCAAAATAAATGCGTGCATAAGCAACCATGCGATAATTAACGCTTCTTCTGTAAAGTACATCTAGCTTTGATTTAACAGAATGATGCAGGCATGCTGCAAGCCATGCGCTAGGACTATGCTTCACCATCATATATATGCTTATATGGCATTATACGTATGTTGGTGTGTGTCAAGAGACAGAAATGCAAACTTCCGTCTCCTGGTCCCACTCTCCTTCCAGTTTATACTTGTCCATCGGGGAAGAAGAACCCCATTGAGCTGACCTTTGAATCTGTTGCTGTTTATTGGGGAAACAGCCTTGTTAGTTACAGGAACATCTGGGACCCTTTTCAGTCATTACATTTTTGGATTGACTGTCTCGCATATTTGGAGAGTGCAGTACCCACCATCTTTTCGATAAGTACGATCACCATTTTGTGTGAATTTTCCAGTTTTGATAAACATGAACCCACGCCTGCAACAAACCCGAGTTTTCAATCCCACTTACTAAAGCAGCCAAATGCAAACCTCTGCTGTTTGTGGAATCAGAACAGAGGCTAAGAGAGCTCCATGTGTCCACTTCTGCCTTTGGAAGTGATCATTGCCTGACCTCCCTTGCCTGTTTCCCATCTGCTCTTATTCTGGAGGAGTGGGAACACAGTACTTTGCAGGTGGGGTTTTCACAGCAAGACAAGATCAAAGGTGGTTTGACGTTGCCTGCCTGCCTGCCTCTGTGTAGCAACCCTGGAACTCCTAGGCGGGCTCCCATCCACATACTAAGCAGGGCCGACCCTGCCTAGCTTCTAAGCAGTGTTCCCTCTAAGCTGAGTTAGTGTAAGCTAGCTTACAGTTTTTTAGCCTCCAGCTCATACATTTTTGTCCCAGCTCAGGAAGGATGGCTCCGGAGCAAACTAATTCATGCAGTAGCCAAATCGCTCGCTCACAGCCTGAATGCTAGTAGCTCACAAAATAGAATTTTTGCTCACAAGACTCCACAGCTTAGAGAGAACATTGCTTCTAAGATCAATCAATCAATCAATCCCTAATTGGCCTTTCTTTGCTAAATACGGTGGTACTGATCCATGTCAATTTTGCTTGCTGCTGGTGTGATCTATGACAGATAAGCTTCAGACCCCTTTCTGCTGGGAAGAGTGTTTTTGAATGTTAACATCATAATGGACTCTTTTGTTAATTTCCAGAGACATCTAACCCCATAAGCAAGGGATACTGGGATTCCTCCCTCCCTCCCTCCCTCCCTCCCTCCCTCTTTCCTTCCTTCCTTCCTTCCTTCCTTCCTTCCTTCCTTCCTTCCTTCTGTTTTCATGATGGAAAGCTGATGGCAAAGTAAGCAAGTTGGGTTAGTCCCTGGGAATCCTATTTTTGTTCGTCATTTGGAGGGGAGGTTAGGCTAGTAAAAAATGGATGTACAGTTGTTATTAATGTTGGTCTGGAACACCACAGGGAATTCCACGGCTATGGGAAAGAACGAGTTCAGATTTTACTGCCTATCGAGAAGAATTTATTGTTATAATACTCAGAAAAGGCTACAGTGCATCATCCATGCTCCTGCGTCACAGTCTTGGGCTTTCTATGCTGCTTGAGATGGTGCTGCTTGCTATGTAGTCACACTGGTGTGAAGCCACAACACTGGACTGAGTTCCGATCCCCGTTCAGCTATGAAGCTGATTCGCTGGCTGATTTTGAACTACCAGAGTTGTTATGAGAGGAGGGGAGGAAATGTACACTACCCCAAGCTTCTTAGAGACATGGCGTGATACAGTGGCAATTAAATAAATACTGGAGCATTATTGCTAAAGGCTGGCTGACACAAAGAAGAGGAAAGGAAGACCAAGCACATTTCCTTGGCTCTGCATAATCATGTGAAGCCCAGTGTCAGAATATATTGTTATGCATCATGAAAAGAGAAGACGGCTGTGGCTGCCGCAAATAGTAACCCTGCTCAGTTTTTGTACCTTTTAAATTTTAGCCTATCCATAGACAATGAAGCTGACTGAGGAGTAAATTCTGGCTTCTAAAAATGTTAGTGGCTATGAAAACGGGTCTCTGGGCAACCCCACAATGCAGTCCTAAACAGAGTTACATGCCTATAAGCGTATTGACTTTAGTTGGTTTAGAGGGATGAAACTCCGCTTAGGATTGCACTGATAGTAATGCAAAGATTGCATGAACTTTTAATGAAGGGCACCACATAGCTTTACTTTTGGCATCAGAAAGACCTGCCTCCTCTGATGCTATTAGTGAAAAATAAAACTTATGCCAGTCGCTTTAATTGGCACTTCTTTCATGCGCAAGAGCCAATAATATAGACATTCCTTGACCATTCATACATCCCCTGGCTTCTGAAGAAGGAAGCAGATACGTGCCATTTCCTTTTGTGACATTGTAATAGTGTGCGTAGTTGATAGGCTGGAAGGCCAAAGTTTGAGAACAGAGTGCTTGATTTGCGTGCAGAAGATCTCATAGCCCGTCCCTTGGGGTCTCCACTTAAAGGATCTTAGACAGCAGATCTGGAGAAGATCCTTTTCTGCCTGAGACCCTAGAGAGTCATCCTCAGTTGGTAGTCAGAATCGACATTAGTGTACTAGATGGACAACCCAGTGTCAGTTCATATATTTTGCCTGTAGTTTGATTGTATGGTACAGGCCCAGGCAAGGAAATCTTAAAAAACACACAACCATCATTGGTTTAAGCATTAAAAAAAATCATCTTTGCTTTCAAACTTAACACAATATAATAAATATAAAATGAAATGAAAGCTTCCTAGGCATCTCTATCATTATTTTACTGATTGAATGGATTTGTAGGAGCAAAATGGTTTTGTTGGCTAGCCTTTTTTTAATCTTATAGTCCTGTAATTCTGACACTGAAAAAAGAAGTTGAGAATCATATAGCATGCAAAGGGTGTGTGTGGAGTGGGGAGTAAAGGAAAGGTTAATTCTGCTGCCAGCTTCCTTCATGTGCTGTTCTGTGGGATCGAATCTGGCTCTCCGTATGCAAGCAAAAACTTCTGTGACAGGAAGGATGAACATGCCTGGCCACATGTTCATGGGATGGACTGGATCAGACACTTAAGACATTCTGGCAGAGGAAGCGGCAGAGAGGAATAAAGGGACTAGAACTTACACTGAGTGGAGTATAATCTCCCTTGACCCATATACCTTCTTGTAGAAACGGCCAACATGTTTCAAATTATTTTTTTCTCTGCAGTCACAGCTAGTGACCTACCTAAAAAATAAAATAAAAATCCGGTCTAAGAATAATGTACCAGGTGCAAGATTTTGCTTTGCAGGAGGTATTTTTAACGTCCATGATATGTAATGGCCATTTTCCTGTCTACGTTTCTTGAATACATTAGCAGAACTTCCATTGTCCAATACTCCAGTATGTCTGTGTTCACTGTGTCCCTTCACCTGTACCTATGGTTGCCAACTCCAGCTTGGGAAATTCCTGGATATTTGGTGACATTGTCTGGAGCAGGGCAGACTTTGGGGAGAGAAGGGAGCTCAGTGGGGCTGTATCACTCTAGAACTCTTGTTTGTTCTAGACTCTATAGTATAACATAGAACCTGCCCTCTGAAGCTGCTATTTCCTCCCAGGAACTTACCTCTGAAGTCTGGATATCAGATTCAATTCTGGGAAACTCCTTGATAACCCTCACACACCCTGGGGTTGGTAACCCTACCCATCTTACTTAAGGATTTGTGTCAAAATAAATGTATAAATGTGTCCATCTTTATCCAGATAAACTGATTTGTATGGTACTTAGAAAATTTCTGTTCCTTGTTCAAAGGCATTGATCAAGGTCAAATGACTTACGACGGCCAACACTGGCACGCTACAGAAACTTGCTTTTGTTGCGCACAGTGCAAGAAGTCTCTTCTTGGGCGTCCATTCCTGCCAAAGCAAGGGCAGATCTTCTGTTCAAGAGCATGCAGCATGGGTGATGACCCTAATGGCTCAGATTCATCAGACTCTGCCTTCCAAAGTGCCAGAGCCAAGGAGTCGCGGCGTAGTGCCAAGATTGGCAAGAACAGGAACAAAGGAGAGGAGAATGCACTAAGCCAGAGCAGCCAACTACAGGTATCCTCCAGCAGGCTCTCTGCAGATGTAGACCCTCTCTCCTTGCAGATGGACTTGCTGAGTTTGTCCAGTCAGACACCTAGTCTAAACAGGGACCACGTGTGGAGGAGCAGAGATGAACTGTATCACTATGGGAACAAAATGGAGCAGAGTCAGTCACAAAGCCCTTTGCAGCTGCTCAGCCAGTGTAACATAAGGACTTCCTACAACCCGGGGCAGAGCCCAAGTGCCCAGCAGGATCTATGGGGCAAACATTTCAGCAACCCAAAGAGAAGTTCCTCTCTAGCCATGAAAGGACATGGTGGCAGCTTCATCCAGGATTGCAGAGAAGACTATTATTCAGGAAGGCTACGGTCTCAGGAGAGTTACAGTGACATGTCTAACCAGAGCTTCAGTGACACCAGAGGGAGTTACAAGGCCTCCAAATATGGAGAGGAGGAGGACGCTGGTATGTCTGCGCAGCAGTGTCGAACCAGGCACCCAATCAATGCACTGAAATTCACCGAGGAATTGACACCCACAGAGCAAACCCCGCGAGGTTCCATGGAGTCCCTTGCTCTTTCTAATGCCACAGGTAGGTTATTGTTTATTTGCTTCTCTCGGCTAAGTTTTGTCAGGCAAAATGGTTTGGTGGGCACATTGCCATGATGTGCTCTCCGCTGGAGTAAATAATGCTACAGTTATAGAGAGCTACAGTAACTTGAACGGTGTGGGCTGAGATGTAGGCTGCGCTGGATGAAATGTCCTGCCAAATAATCTATAGACTGTGCTCCTAGGCTAAATGGATGTCTTGGAGGAACATAGAAACTCCACTGCTTAGAGAGTATGTCTCTCTGCAGAGGTGCCAGAGAGCCCTAAGAAATTTTGCATGAGGTAATGATGTTCACATGTTCTCATGTCTTGCACTGGAGTAATATCGGATGCTCCAAAAACCATGGCCATCCATTCTCTCTTTCCTTGCATGTCTGTTTCTGATGACATCTCTTCCTAGTCAGAATTGGTTTTCTTGTTTAACCCCCTGACACCAGTCCCTGTTCAGAGGTGGCTAGCTCACTGTTGGCCGAGAGATGTCTGCTGAGACAAGAACAGCATCCAGTTGTTAGATGCCTGAGGGGAACTGAAGTCTTGCTTATCCAGGTGGCTGCAATGCTTGTGCTCAGATCCCTGCATCTCTTCCTCCTGATACGACAGTGGAGTGACAGTTTTCAGATAACAGCAGTAGCTGGCAGGGAATGAGGAAGAGAACAGGTTTGCCAAATATACTGCAGCCTCTGTGTCTCTGTAAAACCTGGAAGAGGAGAGGTCTGTGTGAGCATGGTGCAGCAACGGGCTGTGCTCCTTACATATGAGGCGGGCTTCCCAAGGGAAGGTGTAGACAATTGGTCCTGTGCTTCAGCCTTTGCTAGATTTATTACAGTTGGATATCTGTGTGGCAGTCATCTGGGAGTTGGGGAGGGGGCTGGCTTTGGATTGTCTCTCTTGTGAGGACTTTGAAGCTGGGTTTTCATACATCCCTGCTCCTTTTCTACCCTTCAGCGTCGGATGTTTCTTTTGGATAAGGACGAGAAGAGAGCACCGCTAGAAAAATCTGCCTGTCTCAGGCTTAGCTTTGAATTCTAAGAAAGGTCATAATGTCCAGGAAGCCTTTCTTTCCTGAAACGTTTCAGAAGATCCAAACACAGGGGCCTTCATGTCTTTGTTTTGACATCCCCCTTCTAAATGGGGCCAATGCTTATAATGAGAGCAGCACCACTGGGCTGGGCAGGAAGGGTAGAGAGGTGTCTGCATACCGAGGAGGACTCCGACTGCTTTCTCCTATAAGGAAGTATGAGGGGACAAAAGGAAGGCTACCGTACGCGTGGAATGCAATCACACTGCCGTGGAAATCAGGCAGCGTGGAAACAAAGCACTGGCCATTTAAACACAGGAGGAGTGGGGGGAAGTGCACAAAATAATGCGATGCTACAAACGTGCAAGCTGCCCCACCGACAACAAAGGCTGTGCAAAACAATTCTACTCTCAGCCTATGCAAATGCCTACATGAGCCCAGTGCACAAGGGAACCAAAAGACCTGCAGTCTCCTGACTTGCGTGGGCATTCAGGCACGGGGACAACATAGTGCTCTTTTTGTAGAAAAAGCCCAGCAGGAACTCATTAGCATATTAGGCCACACCCTGACAGCACCACTCATTAGCACATTAGGCCACACCCCCATGTTACCAGAAGTGTGGTCATCCAGCCACACCCACCTTTCCCTTCTTATTCTGTTTACCTTGTTTGTTGTCAAAACCCAGGGCTTTTTTTGTAGCGGGAACTCCTTTGCATGTTAGGCCACACACCCCTAATGTAGCCAGTCCTAATGAGTTCCTGCTATTGGGTGTGGTCTATTATGCTAATGAGTTCCTGCTGGGCGTGGCCAACTCAGGAGCCAGCCGGAACTCCGTTCCTGTGCATTCCTGCCCAAAAATAGCCCTGGTTGATACCCATTTGGCACTTTTGTCACACCCTCCATTCCTTGCTCTGCGTCGCTCACAGAGAATAGCATGGCCTCTGCTCTTAATCTAAGGTTGCCAGGTCTGGTTTGGAAAATACCCGGAGACTTTGGGGGTGGATCCGGGAGAGGGTGGGGATCGAGGAGGGGAGGGGCCTCAGCATGGTGCAATGCCATAGAGTCCGCCCTTCAAAGCTGCCATTTTCTCCAGGGAAGCTGATCTCTATCAGCTGGAGGTCAGTTGTGAAAGCAAGAGATCTCCAGCCCCCACCTGGAGGCTGAGAACCCTATCTTAATCCCATAATGAGGCTGGCTGGAAGGGCTGGGAGTTTTACCCTCCTCCTTGCCAATTCCAGCTCTTGCCACACATGGTCACAGCTGCCCAGGCTTACTCTCCTGATGGCATATTGTTTGTTATTTGCTCCACTAGAGTAGAGTTGCCAGGTTCCCCCTGGCCACCAGGTATCAGATCCAGGTTGGGAAACTCCTGGAGATTTGGGGATGGAGCCTGGAGAGGGCAGGGGCTTCTGTGGGGTGCAATGCCATAGAGTCCATCCTCCAAAACTTCCATTTTCTGCAGGGGAACTGATCTCTGTAGTCTGGAGATGAGCTGTAATTTTGGGGAATCCCAGGTCCCACCTGGAGGCTGGCAACCCTACAGAGACAGAAGCTCAGCATCTCCTTTGGATTGCTCAGAAATGTAATTCAACACTGGGCTTATCCATACCACACAAAAAAACTGGTTTAATAGTAATTCCATCTCCCTGGGAGTAGGGTTGCCAGCTCCACACTGGGAAATTCCTGGAGATTTGGGAGGAAGCCTGGGGAGAGTGGGGTTGGGAAGGGAAGGATCCTCAGTGGGATACAAATGCCATAGAGTCCACCCTCCAGAGCAGCCGTTTTCTCCAGGGGTACTGATTTCTTTGCTCTGGAGATCAGCTGTAAATCTGTGAGATCCCCAGGTCCCACTTGGAGCTTGGCAGCTATATCTGGAAGCAATAAGCCCTGTGTGAGAGAGTCTGGATTCTAACAGAGAAGTCTTAGCATCCAGTACAGTTCCCAGGGTTCTTTGGGGAAATCACTGACAGTTAAACCGGTACGAATCTGGTCTGTGTTTTAGTGTAGCCGTATCCATTTAGATTAATCTGTTGTGAACAGTTTGGGCAGTGTTATATTTCACAGCTAGAAATGGAGCTTCCAAAAGTCAACCCTCACAATTATTTTGTGGTTGGGAGTTTAATTTTTCTCCCAGTCTCAATGGGCTCCTGGCCGCGTTACGATGCTGATTGAACGTGCTCTCTCAAGCAATCTGGAAGGTTTGCATTTGCCATGTGATCTAAACTGAATGTGCTGTCTCAACCGATCTGGGAGGTTTACAGTGGCCATTCTCATCTGCGGTTTGAATCAATGATGGAAACATCCCATTAAAGGGAAGGGCAGTCATTAGAAGCAGTCTTGACTGGCATCCACCATTTGCATATCGGTGTTGCGGGCAGCAAATTCCAGAAAGTGATGAGCAGAGAGAGTGTTGCAGGTAGAATTACTTTTTAAAAAATAGCTGCTGCATACTTTCCTTTCCTTTGTATGTTCTGTATCTGTCAATCTCAGTGTCGACCATGTTGCTATTATAAGAAAGGGGTGGATTTTTCAGGCAGTCAGTCAGTTTTGTATTGTCAGAAAAAGATAGGTTGTAACAATCGTAGTACGAAACAGAACAATAACATTAATATTGACAGTTGCAACCATGATAATTTACCCTATTAGTATCCAAACGTTTTTAGCAAAACTTAGCAGTTGCTACAGGGAAGGCAACTATCTTCTAAGTTTGGTTTTTCTTTCTGCCTGATAATGAAAAGAGAATTTTCTGCTGGGTCGACTGGCGCATAGACTTGTGAACGTATGACGTTTCCTTATATCAAGTTAGGCCATTGGTCCATCTAGCTCAGTGCTGCCGGTTCTGAGTGGCAGCTGGTCTTCAAGGTCTCAGACAGAAAAAGGGTCTTTCCCGAAACTGCTACCTTGAACTGGTAGTGCCAGGGTTTGAAGCTGGGGTCTTCTGCAGACAAGTCTGTATTCTACCACTGAGCGATCGCCCCTTTGTCTAGCAAATGAAATAGTCATTTAGGCCCGCTGTCCTTATAAAGATGGCAAGTCAGCAAATAGAAGGAAGGTCTTTTGAAGCTCGCTGTGCCAAGTCTGTGTGGCATTTTTGCAGATAGAATTGCTTGCATCATTGCTGACTGGAGTTGCCAGCTCTGGGTTGGGAAACTCCTGGAGATCTTGGGGGTGGAGCCTGGGGAGGGTGGAGTTTGGGAAAGGGAGGGACTTCAGTAGGGTATAGCATCATAGTCGACCTTCCAAAGCAGCCATTTTCTCCAAGAAAACTGATCTCTGTTACTTGGAGACCAGGTGTAATTCCGGGAGATCTCCAGCCATCACCTGGAGACTGGCAACCCTATTGCTGACTTAGCTTCTGCAGTCATGACAGTCTGGTCAGCTTTTGTTGGAGATGATTTTCAATTGCTCATCCTCAAGGATATGCAGCTTAGCACTGTTGCTTGACCCAATGCCTATTTATATTACTGTGGCTATTAATGCCTCCTCAAGAACTGAGGTGGTTCCAATAATGCTATAAGAGGTGAAGGTTCAGGCTTTAGTGTGGGGGGGACCCCTTGATACATAATGATGATTTCAGTAATTACAGACCAGTTGCTAATTTTGGGCAAGATCCTTGAGTGCATAATGGGTGTCTAATGCCCAAGTGGTCTTGGGTGAAACTGATTATCCAGAGCCATTTCAGTAAGGTTTCAGACCCAGTTTTGACATGGAGCCTACCTTGGTCACCCTGATTA